CCTTAATGAAGCACATACCATGTTTTCAAGCATATTTTGGACCATGTGTGAGCTTGTGCCGGCGCAGTAACTAAACTCCACCCTGTGTAGCATCCCTGCCTGTGGGTAAAGCCCACGAGTAATGGATTCCTCTGGGACCCCAGGAAAGTGCTTTGTTTCTTTACCAGAATAGACTTTCCTATAAATGTGTGCTGTTGCCTCAGTTTTAATTTCCCTTACCACTGAAGCAAGAATCCATGCTAGCTAAGGACAGATTAAAAAACATGGCTCACACTTTTTTTAAGTCATCGGTGGACCAAAGTTCCAGACCAAGAATAACTGGACATTGAAGAAGTCTCTCATGGACTCCAAAGAGACTGGATGAAAGGCTGCAGGGAGAGAGAGATGAAGGCAAGGATTACCTGCATTTTTCAGAGGAAAATACAAAATGTACCTAACACTCTAAACGATTTAGACAAAGCAAACCTTGAAACTCTCAGTTTACACCTTCTTCCTCTATTGCCTCAAAAATTTATTGATGTCTTACTGTCTCTCAAGCTTTGTTCTTGGCCTTAGACAAGAACACCACGCGAGACGGACATACCCACTCCCCTCCCGTACCTGTCATTGCTTCCAGTCATTTCCACACATGCACTGCCTGAGGACAGACGGCCAGACCAGACCCCAGAGGTGGAATGGATCTTCCTTCCACTGGGGTGGACACACACTGCCTATCTTTGAAGAAGTAGTGTTCTCAGAAAGCAGAAGTGATCCACCACCCTGCAGAACCAGGAACCGATGCTATCAGAGGAGAGCTAGCCATGAGGATATCTATTGAAAATTACTTGGCTTTTTTTTTCTTGTTTTCTTTTGGACAGTGCTTACAACTCTAGCCAAGATTTTGTGTTATTTTATTTTACTTGTAGGTTAGTAAAAATGTCCCTCACCCAATAGGATCTCTTACCACCAACTCCTCAGAAAAATCTGGTATATCAGGATAGCTTGAGAAGATAACATTTCATGGAATAAATGGATGGACAAGTGTTTTTTGTTTTATTTTTCTCCACTTCTCTGCTGAAACCTACACCTGACTTTGAGCCGGCTGCACCTGTGCGTCCGGGAAGGTGGTGGCCACAGCCAGAGAGTTGGGAAAGGTGAGGTGGAGGGGCTGATGTACAGAAGCCACTTGCAGGTACTGACTCAAAGCCTTCCCACCGGAAACACCAGCAAAGTGAGCCTGGAAGAGAGTTTGCGGGAGGCCCAGTGCTCGCCTTAGGGCTCTTGATGTAAGAAAATCTTCCACTGAGTGTCAGGGAAGGTTGTGCTGGCTGAAAGGATGCAGACCTGAGAAAGGCAGGATCTGGGGGAGGTGGAAGACGGGGCAGGAAACAGACACTGCTAACGTCCAATTACAACAGTTGAGCTTCCTCTGGTGGTGTTATTTTCCCCAGCAAATCATCTGAAGATTCACAGGTCAGACAGTGGGGTGCATGCAGCTGTGGCATTTTGTCAGGGAACAAGAAGACAGGAAAGTTTAGGGCACTGAGAATACAAAGGAAGACGCAATGCAGGTAGATGTTCATTGGAAGAGGAAGGAATGAAGCCAGAAACTGAGGGAGACAGAAGTGGGGAAATCCTGAACTGCGGGTCTCCGGGCTGACAAGAAACGACAGATTTAGAGCAACTGATTCAAGGTTATGCTCAGAGAGCCTGAGGTCCAAAGAATGTTCTCAGAGCTGGAGCAAGTCCGGAGGAGGACAAGTGAGGGCGTGTCTGCTGTGTCACTGGAAACGCAAGACGGAAACAGAAATGCTCGGGGTGCTGAGCTGGGATATGATGGCATTCAGAAAGTTGGGTGGAGGACCTCGCAGGTGCCCAAGTTCTCCATGAACCAAGAGCAGAGCGCAGAGCTCAGTAGCTAACAGCAAGCAAAGGGCGTGGGGCAGCATCTCACTGCTTGTGCAATGTCTCCAGACCAGCAGGGAGTTTTGGACGAGAGGGTGGGGCAGAAATGACCTAAAAGTAACAATGCGGAAACAAGCAAAATTTTGTTTATTTCTATTTTAACCCAATAGAACCCACTGAATTGGAGAAACTTGGTTAGTATTTTAAGCTTCTTTTAGAAAACTTTAAATAGAAAATGAATTAGTGGTGCAAATATGGAATAGTTTCTCTGGTGTGAAAAACTATAATAGTACATAAGATCCTAATGAGATAATTGACAATGTGAAATAGGAAGAAAAGGGCTAAAGGTGTAGGGAAAGTGGGAAGGGTCGGGGAAAGGTAATAAGGGAAAAGAAAAAAATATGAGAAAATGGAAAAAAGTGTTTGTAAATGGGGAGGGGAGAAGGGGGTGAAGGGAGGGCAGGGACAAGGGGAAAAATGAGAACCAAGACCTGTCACGTAAAGGTACAAGATCCCAATGATGAATGTAACTGTACTGTGCACCTAAAATGTACCAATAAACTCAATGAGGAGAAAAAAAAAAAAAAGAAAATGAATTAGGACCTTGTCAGTGGCTGCCGTGTCTGTCCTCCTGCCTGTTGTTTGCACAGTGGGGCACAGTGCCCTCTGGGTGTGGCTTAGCTTCAGTCCTACTTTTCTGCTCTGCGCCTGCTGGAGTTGGCGCACAGTTTGTCTGACTCTGGACTGTGGTTCATATTATAACAGGGAATGTGATGCCCCACACCCTAACCCTGTGATTCACACATCCTGGGAAGGACTGAGAGACACTGACTCACTTATCTACGGCTCAGTGACCTGGCATTTTATTAGAAGCCCATAAGACTGTGGCTATTGTGTACACCAAGACAGAGATTGACAACGACAGGAAACAAAATGGAACCAAAGCTCTGTCCTTAACAGCTTTTCATCCCGAGGTTTATTGAGTTTGTCTTTGACGTCATATACTACATTAGTTGCTAGAGATATGAAGGTGAATAATCCCTACTCTTTGTTCTTGAGAGGCCATGGTCAAGTGGCATAAGGAAAAAGTCACAGGCCATTGTTAAATGCTGTGTCATACAGTGCATGTGAAGCTCACGACAGGCTTCCTGAGGCAGACAAGAGGTAATCTGCACCCCGAAGTAAGGACAGTTAGGCAGATATGTACAGGAAAGGCATCTTAGGGAAAGAGTAAAGTAATTAAAGCGAAGACAGTGTAGAATCCAGGAGAGAGGAAACACCATGGCCAGGAGTTAGCGCTCGAGGGAAGGGCAGGAAACGGATCCTGCAGGACCTCAGACGCTATGAACAGGGGTTTAGGATAGAAGTCAAAGTAATGTGGGATTTAAAATAAATCTTTTTAGATGGTAACATTAGCAACATGAATTAGGAATTATGGGTAAGGGTGGCGGGTGTTCAAGGCCAGATTATATGGAGATTATGTGTTACAAAAGACAAAAAAATAAAAAGCTGGTGCTGAAAGATAAAAAGAGATATGTAGAAAATAGAATTGATAGGACTTGGAAAAGCAAAGTTTTGTTGGGAGTGAGGGAAAGGTAAAGCAGGTCCAGAAGATTTCCAGGAATCTGACCCAAGTCGTGGTGCCGTTGAGTGTAAGACCTACTGAAGAGCGTGGAATGTGGCTGGAGGATGCTCAATGGCTGGTTAGGGAGGGAGATAAAAATGTCATTTTCACAGGGCAGATCTGAGAGGGTGTGGGAGCTCTGATGGTGGTGGCTGTCGAGTAGCCAGCTACGTGAGTAACACAGCAGAGAGCTCAGTGGAGAGCACCGTTGGGAGTCCACAGCCAGATGTATGCCAAGGCCATGAAGGAAAATGATCTCCCACACCTTGGCGGTGAATGGGCGGCATGCATCCCACAGTGAGCTGTTGGTATCAGTGAAAGCTCTGGAAGGTTCACCATCCCTGACCGAGGGGGAAAAGCACAGATGTTCACACAGCTAACACTGAGCATCCGCAAAGCAGACACAAACACAATTATTTCCTTCCTTTAAATTCTTTCCTGATGCTTTGAAAATTATCCTTGTGAGAAGGAAAGAAGACAAGAAGTATTGTTTCCCAATCAACCCAAGTAGCACCAGCATGGACACTACCACAGAGTCAGGTAATAATGCACAACCACCATGTGGGAGAGACAGCAGGAAGTGAAGGGAAGGAGACCCCTCCATGTCCTTCCTACGCTGCCACCCCAAGAATACTCACCCCAGTGTTGTCAGATCTTCTGGCTATAAGCTGTAGACATGTGGTTTCACAAGAAAATTTAAGTCATGAAAACCCTGAGCATTAATTCATTTACTCAGTAGTATTTACTAGGTGCTTACTATGTGCCAGCCACTGTTCTAGGATCTGGACATTTGATAGTGAACAAAAGAGACGAAATCCCACACCTGGACAAAGCACACACCCAGCTATAGGGCCACATGCCATAGTAATGAGAAAACATAGGTCAGATGAAGAGGGAAACGCTGCTGAACGTGAAACTGGTACACGACGGAGAATGTTGAAGTGGCTACAATACCAACTACAGGGGCAAACAAAGGCCTTCACTGGGAAAGAAATAGCAGAGTAAAGGCCTTGGGTAAGCAAAGAAATGAGCCACCCAAGCACTCCAACATTCTCATAAAAAGAAAGTAGCAGCCCACGGCTCTAAGTAGGAATTTAGCCAGTGTAGTGAGGCAGTGACACCTGGGAGAGGAGGTCTGAGGAGTCAGGGAAGGGACACACGTAACGTTTGAGCTTGTGTCTCAGGGGAAGCCACTGGGACCATCTCAGCAGAGGCAAAACTCGTGCTGGCTGTGGCAAGGGCACACGGAACAGAACAGGCATGGGAGATCTCAGAGGAAGGGCCCACTGCAGACACCCAGAAAGCTGCTTGGAGACAGGACTGGAGGAGGTGGAAGAGACAGACAGGGTCAGACGTGGGCTGTGTCTTAAAGGTAGGGACACTGGCGTTTGCTAATAGATTCTAGGTAGAACGTGAGAGAAAGTGAGACACCAGCATGACTGGTAGGATTTTGGCCTGAGCTGAATTAAAAACGCAGCAATCACCAATCAAGATGAGGAAAACTGTGATGTCCAAGGGAGTGCTGAAAGGTAAGCTCTTTCTTTTAACGTAGGTGTCTGACCCTCCATGTATCTGCTCACCCTGAAAGTGCCCTGGAGGCATGGAGCCCAGCAAAGAGAAAGCTTCACTTAGAAACACTGGGATGCCGTCCATATTCAGATTTTCTTCAAGGTAAACCTTGCTGAACTAAAAGATACATTCTGTAATTGGTAGGACTTCAAGAAAATCGTGTGCATTGGAAATGATGGGTAGATTTGAGTTTGGAATGAAGAAATGAAAGCTAAAGTAATTTCCAATCACATCCCTCATATTAGGATTGGACTTAGGTAGATGGGAAGATCCAACACTCTGCTGTGAGTCTGTGAGGGATAAACAGCTACATCTTGTCAGCGACTAGTTGAAGCTACCGACATCTCTCAAAGAGTCTCATTTGTCTGTAAACTACACCTAATAGCATCTCAGAAAAAGTATCTTTGGAACTCCTTCACACACGACTTCAGCTAGAAGCTGATACGTTAGTGCTTTGTGCATGGCTTAGGCGCCTGCAGTCCTGACCCGACTTCTGGAGCAGCTGCTTCAGAGAGGAAAGAAGGGCTGCCTGGGAGACGACACGACCCAGAGCTTAACATACGGGAAGCAGCCGTATCAGTGACCTTGGCTCGAGGTACAAAGTAGGGGCAGGAAAAACAGTTCCTAACTCAGCTTCTAAAAATGAGTCCTCTGTATTCTCAGAAGCACCGCTGTGTCCATCAGAACCCGGACCTCGAGTGAGCATTTTGTCGAAACAAACAACTCCCAAGTGAACTGACTTTCGATGAGTTCTGGTGCACTTCACCACGGTTTAGAAGGCAGTTTTGGATAAGAAGAGCCTACTCCTCAGGCCTTTCAAGGGGAAAAAGCTGACCCACAGTTGGCTTTATTTGCAGGTATTTCTACCCTAAGTACAAAGATGTTTCCCACTTATATCTCTGCTACTTTTCATTAATATATCCAGTTTTTGCAAAGTTCCTAGCCACCTGAGGCCAATTAAATACTGGTTTACAAAGGAATTTTTGCCCTTCAGGTAACAATATGGAGCACTATGTGTGTGCGTATGGTTTAAAATGATCAAATGAAATGAAAACTCACGTCTATTTCTACTCTTTTCAAAAATGCACTCTAGTAAAATTGCAGCAAAGAAATTTTTTAAAGGCAGGAAACCTCAGAGAATGACAACTGCAGAGGTCACTGCTGCAGCACAGGGTACTGTCTTGGTACAAGCACCAGTAGCAGTGCGTGTGCAGGAGTCTGGATCTGCATCCATCCCGGAGCAGAGACAGCTGGGTGGGGCCGGGCTCGCTCCTTTTATGACCGAGAACCCAAGGGAGTCACTTGAGGATTACTTCAAGAGCAGGACCCCAGGGTCCTGACCCTCCCACTAGTCCCCGCCCCTTGGCAGTTGTAAGGACTGATGGTCTCCCCAAAACGGAACCTCCAGGCACGGGAACCCTGGGGGAGGGCGTGGAATCATTCCCAAACCACAGCACACAACGGCAGCTCTGCTTGCGACTGATCTACCCAGCGAACAGGAAAAGAAATGTTTGGCTGTGCTGTCCCTCACCGAATGACCCAGCTGATTTTCTGTTGCCAAAGCCCACCAACTCCACAACTGAAACCTTGGCTCTCACTTCAAGATTTTTCATCAACTTCATTGAGGTATAATTTACATGAACCAACGCAGACAGTTGAAGTACAGTCGTCCCTCCATATCCGTGGGGATTGGCTTTGGGGTCCCTTGTGGATAATAGAATCTGTATATGTGCAGGTCCCTTACGTAAAATGGATAGTATGTACATAAAAGCTATCCTTTCCTATATTTCAAATCATCTCTAGAATGCTTATAATAACCAATACAATGCAAACGCTATGCACATAGTTGTTTAACTGTAGCGTTTAGGGGCTAGTGACAAGAAAAGTCTACACATTCAGGTTGACTATGTCCACAGATGGTTATGTGTACGGGGAATGTGTACACCCTCTCATCCCCGCCCCAGCCAATATGCAGAACATTTTTGCTGCCCCCTCCCCAATCTCCTTCTGCCCTTTTGCAGTCATCTCTGCTACTCCTTTGTCCTCCTCACTCCAGGAAGTCACTAATTTAATTTAGGTCACCATAAATTCATTCTTCGGGTTCTAGAATTTTCTATAAGTGGAGCTATAGTATATATCATATATGTGTCTGGCTTCCTGTGCTCAGTGTGTCTGTGAGAATTGTTCATGTTATTGTATCATGAGATCATTCCTTTAAGTAGTTGTCCATTCAGCTGCTGACCAATTAGGTCCAGCTTGTGACTATCACAACTAAAGCTCCTACAAACATTTATGAGCAAGTCCCTGGTAGGCTTCGTTTTGTTTTTCCTGGGTTTAGTCTTAGAAATGCTTTTGCTGAGTCACATGGTATGTGTTTATTTATAAGAAGTGAATGAAATGTTTACCAAAGCATTTGTTTTGCACTCACACACATACAGATACACAGTTATTTTCCACCTTTGCATAAAATGAACCAGGTGACAAGGGACCAGATGCTCTAGAAACAGAAGGAAGTGACATTAAAGACAGGACAAAAGTATTAGAAAGGGTGGTGCTGGGTGAGGGCCTAAGGAAAGTGTGGTGTTTCTAACAATGACTGCAGTTACTATTTGTAGTAAACTGCCTTCTTCAGTGCAAGCAGACCATCTGGTCTGAAGAGAAAACATTCCTCCCATGCCACTAGGGAATCGGATCATCACTTAGCCTAAGTGGCTTTTATTTGACAACTGAAAGAAAAGTGCTAAGAAAATTGCCACTAAGGAATACTGCTGAGAAATGCCAAGGAAACATTCAGCTTTAATTATGTCCCAGGAAATACACAGCAACAGAAGCATAACTTTAAAGTCTCCCAGAACTGAGTTCAAATCTTATTTGTGGCACCTGCATGCTTTGATCCAATCACAGGCCCCTCGCCCAGGTTGCATCTTTGGAAGTGGACACATTCACAGTTTCTTCATGCACCACATGGCTGTGGTGCTGAGTAGGGCTGGGTCTCACACTAAGAGCATAGACTAGCATATTACATGTAATATTTTCTTTCTTCTCACCCTATGCAATTTTAATAAGTTCAAAGTATGAATCTGTTTCTTAATTTGCAAGGTTATGAATCAAGGAAAATACGCTGCAGATGGGACTGCAGTGGAGGTAAGGCACTAGGCCAATGTCTAAACAATTTTGAAACTTTTAGTAAATGGCCTAACCTTTGCCAGAGAGCAAATTCTGTTGCATGGGGAAAGCACAAAAAGAACAGCTGAATTATCTCAACACTGTGAGCATCATCTTTAAAAATTTTATAGTTGGTCAATAGATTTTCAGAGTATGTGTCAATGACATGTCCTGTTTTGTAGATTAGATTAGGTGAAAAGTGAATAAAATAATCGGTGTGTGAAATGTCCACTCATACCAGCCATTGATATTAATTATTGATAATATCTATTGAATATTTACTGTAAGCCAAGCAAAGTACAAGAGAGTTCACATATATTATTTCCTGTATTCTTTACAGAAACCCTACAGGGAAGGTAACATGATCACTCCTATTCTATAAGTGATGGATCTGTACCAGAGGGCAGCTAAGCCCTATACCAAGGAAGCAATGATATCACTACAGAGCCAAGGTCTATCTGAATCCCAAACCTGATGACTCGGTCCCTGGGCTGCTTTGTCTCCTAACACACACACACACACACACACACACACACACACAGAGACACACACACACACCTTCTCTTTCCTCTTGCTCTACTTTGGCGACAAAAATTCAATGCAGTCTCAGAAAATCAGAGCTGGTCAAAGAAATGCCTGCTTACGGAGCCCAACATTATACTTCTACAAGGCGGGGGAGCTCGAGGGAAGACGGCCAAGGCGAGATGCTATCCTGACAGGTGAGATGCGGTATTAGGCCACTTTTTCTAAATAGCACTAAACCTGTGCTTAATAAGCAATCTCTGCTGTAATACAGAGATATCTTGAGCAGAGAATTCTTGGTAAATAAAACCCCTTTATCAAGAAATAGGTGTCTGGGGGTTGGGGATTTAGCTCAGTGGCACTGCGCCTGCTTTGCAAAGGTAAGGTCCTGAGTTCGATCCTCAGTACTGCCCCCCCAAAAAAATAGGTATCTGCATGTGTGTTTTCATTTATTTTTTTAAAGGGCACTTACTCTGCATAGCAGAATGCCTGTATTTGCAGCCACATGACACAAATACCTCAATATTAAGTTCCTGTGCTTCCTGTCCATTGGAGACAAGGAGGAGTAATGCTAGGCTAAGTTATGAACGCAAATAGAAACAAATGGTTGCTTAGAGCCGAAGTGCTGGCAGACACCATGTGTTGGTAGCAGGCAGGAAGGTGTGGGTGTAACGGCTGAGCAGAGAGATTTCCTGGAAGAGAGGGGCCCAACGGCCCAAGAGAGACCTGGGGGCCCAGCTCAGCCCCTCCCAATGGTGTGGTTTGGGGCTACCCACCTTCAATACCAGCAGCCTCACCAACAACGAGAAGGGCATTTGACTCAGGGTTAGCATTTTTAGCTTCCAGGAAGTTGCATTAACCTCTTCTCCTTTTAATATCTTGTTCTCCTTGACCCTTCATACTCTCAAAGGTGGGGCTCCCAGGGCTCCCCCTGGGCGTCTGTGTTTCTGTCCCTCTCCTTGGTTACCTCTTCTCTCCTTCGCCACTCGCACATCTGCTGGTCTTGCCCCACCTTTCTGCTGTACTTCTCCATGAAGATGTGCTGCCCAGACCCTTCACACTCAGCCAGTGCAAAGTCAGAGTTATTTCTCCATTACCTTCTGACTTTGGAATGGACAGTTTTTTAGAAGAGAGCCCTCATCTCACACACTTCAGACTTCTGAGTCATCTCAAGCTCGTCTTTGCTTCCCCGCCAATGTCACCAAGTGCTGCTTCTTATCTAAGGTAGTCCTTTGGAAACTTCTTTGTTCAAAGCAGGAATGAAAATCCAAAGGCCCATGATGACTGTGTCAGAGATTCCTTCACGGTAGGAGTGGCAGGACTGCTCCTAATATAGATGCGTTTAGTGGCAGTGGGGCTCAAGCCCAGGGCCTTGCACATGTGAACCAGCCCTCTACTAATGAGCCACACCCCCAACCCAAAGCTTTACTATTTTAAGAATTAAAATTAGACAATGGCACACATCTACAATCCCACACTCTAGGAGGCTGAGGCAGGAGGATTCCAAGTTAGGCTCAGCTTGGGCAATTTAACAACTTAGCCAGACCCATTTAAAAAAAAAAAAGGTCATGGCCAGGCATGGTGTTAAACATCTGTAATCCCAGTACTTGGGAAACTAGGGCAGGAGGATCCCCTTGAGTTTGAGGGCACTGTGGGCTACACAGTGAGTTGAAGGCCAGTCTGGACTATCTAGTGAGATTCTGTCTTGAAAAACCATAAAGGAAAGAGGGAAAGAAAGGTCTCGGGTAGCTCAGCACAAAGGCCCTGGTTTCAATCCCCAACATAGATATCCCCAGTGAAATTAAAGACGTTTCTGCTCCCTAACCGTAGCCACCGCATTACTGTATAGTCAGCTAGGTCGCATCTTGCCTTCCAGCATCGTTCCCATTCTAGCACCGTGGCTCCCTTATCTCCCCGAGCTCGCTGCCTTATCCCATGACAGTTGTCACTCTGGTCCAACCAGCAGGTCCTGCTCTTCTTGAAGCCCCAGCCCCCAGCCCTCGCCTTCCACGGGGCATTTGCCTAGCATTTATCACATAAAACCCCCCTACTGAATTACGGATTCTTGAGCACAAATACTAATGCCTTCCCTGTGTCCCCCTTGATTAGCCTTTTAGTTGTTGGGATGAGGTTGAGGGATGACTGTGTTTTCTGTTTTCACCTTGTGTTGGAACCCGAGAGCCCCATAGAGAGTTTAGTCCTAAACCTTTTTAATCAAGGTGACTGTCGGACACAGGGCTGGAGTGGGTCTGCGGGACTCTAGGCTGGGTTTCAGGACCTCAGTATGAAGTCTAGGAACTTCGGCTTGGATTCCCAAGTCACCTCGCGACACCCAGCGCAGTCACATCAGAGAAATCGTTGCTGTCTGTCGCCAACACGACAGGGGAGAAGTCCAGGCTTCAGAGTCAAACTAGGCTGGGGTTGTGGCCTGAGTATTTGTTAACTGCACCAATTTTGGTTAAATAAAAGAAAGTCTCTCAGGCTGATTCCTCATCTGCAAAATGCAGGGAGGCAGACATGGCAGGAGGAAGGGCCTGGAGTACAATGAGTGTAGGCCATGGGCTAAAATAGCCTGTCATAAATTTGCAGGTTTGATTTTTTCGTAGTACTATTTTGGTTTTAGCACAGATCTCCTTTTTAAACTAAGTAAATGCATCATGGATTTCATTTTTCTTTTGATTTACAACACCGTATTTGGGCAGTTATAAAAATATATTTTTAATAAAAAATGAAGTATTTTGAAAGGCGAATTCTTAAGAGTGTTCTTTGTAGCCAAGCTGGGTAACAGAGATAATTTTCTGACTTTGCTGAGCTCATTGTTGTATCTGGATAAAAAATCACACTCAAATACTCCCTGACTGGGCCCTGTGCTAGTGCTGATCCTTCAGAAGCGCCTACCGGCCTTGAGCTCCTCCAATTTTCAGGGTACCATGCTGCCTTTCACCTCGGTCCTGAGTCCGGGCCGACACAGGACTCGTCTAGAATGGCCCGGAAGTAGGGAGCACTGGTTCAGGTAACCGGGTCCTGAGAGGAATAAAGGGAGGACTAGCACCACTTCTGAAGCCCCGCTGTGCCCCGATGCACAAACAGGGGATCAAGAGCAGGGTATTTTAATGTCACAGAGAGGGTCACATGGCATGGTTTCCAAGCCCTCGCCTTCCTGGACTTGTAAGGAGGAAAGCCATGGGAGGGCCTCTCCCCTGAGCCCTGCAGGAGGGATTCCGCCTTAGAAGACCCAAGACTGGCTGAGCGCTAGTCAGAGAAAAGCGGAGTTAACAAATGTTTCCTTCTTCTGAAGTTCCTGCTGACCAGGGTAGAGGTGTCCCTCAGAAACCACGCAGGAAGGCGTGCTGCGCAGGGTGTAACACACCCCGTGGCTGGCCCTGACAAAGGCATCATTCCAAGCGAGGTATCGCTCCGGCCGGTGAGCACTTCAGGGAACAGAAACCCAGGCCAGGATTCCGCCCAGAGGCCCCGGCCCAGTGCAGAAGCGGGGGGGGGGCGCTCTGGCCGTCCAGTCCTGTCCTGGGAGCAGCAAGGGCTCCCGGGCCCTGTATCTGATGGCCCGGCTGCGCGCGTCTCCCCTTCGACAACACCGCACTGCCTGCAGTTTCTCTAACGGGTTCGCACGGTGGATGCCTTTCACCCCAACACTCAGAAGTCCTGGTTTAACGGGGTGCAGCTTGGCCCTCTGGAGCCTCAGGCTCCCCAGTGGGTCCCTGGCCTTGTCACCGCCGGCCCCGCCTCCTTCTGACCACACCCCGCTGCCCCGACTGAGCATCTCTCCCCTCAGCGGGGCTGCAAAGACACCCAGTGGCCCCGAGGGGTGCGCGTGACTGGAGGAGAAGCGGGACGCAGACGGCGGTCCCCCAACCGGGCGCGCACACGGCCACTCC